CTGATGACGGAGGCAGTATGACCTCTGAAACGTTGGTTAACATCGACCAGACTACACAGTGCAACAACCCAGAAGACAGAAATCTTTAAAAGAGTAATTTAATGCAACTTGTAAGTTACTGACATAGCAAATAAAATGAAGGCGTAATGGGGTGGTCGTGGTATTTTATTAGTACAGTCAATTTATTTGTAGAACAGTATGACGGTTGGTTTACGGTAAGCTTTAATGCAATTTCATAATGCTTTCCTTAAAATATGTATTACCGAAATTGCATTCTAGTGAAATGTAGGTCTATGTTAATTTTAATTTTAAATATTTTCCATATAAATGCAAGTAAAAATGCATCTTAACCTTTTTTGAGTGTGACGTTTGCTATACGACTAGTTTTGATATATTATTCCTGTGTAGACCGTATATAATGAATTTTGAAGTTTAGTGATGTATAAAAATTCAAGTATCCACTTTAAAAATGTTTTTGAGCCCACTTAAGGGCAGCTTTCTGATCTTGTTTTTTTCGTAGTTGAATCTCTGGCTTCCCTCGTTCAATAATAATATCGGTGTGCGTGTAGTGGTTTAGCCAGTGAAACGTAAAGCTATTAAAATTGTATGCTTTCCGGTCGGTCGTGTCTCATACACCTTCTGCCTTAGTAGCACTTGTAACCGAGATGCGGTCCTGTGCAGTGTGAAAGGCAACCAGCGGTCAGGAAAATACGATTACCCTCCACCCCTCACCTGGCGGTATTCAGACTCACCCCTAGCGTTTTTTTTCTAATTCCCACCCCATATCGTCACTATACGCAGATACGTATTTATATTTGTCTGCTCTGTAGTATAACACAATCTCAGTGTTACATTTTATTCTGTCTTTTGTAAAGAATTTTGCTACGGAATGGTCAGCTTTTCTCGTTGAAAACTCAGTTTGCAAACCGGCCGTCATGCCTTTCCTCAGTTAATCCAGGTCACAACCGCTTCCTTCCGCATTGTTTCCAGCAAATTACGTAACATTTTAAGCTTTAACGGCGAATGCAAATAAGTTTTCTGGGCTGTCGACCGTGTAAGCGTTTCGGAGACTGGAGATAAATGACTCCAGACGTTTCAGAGATCCTTACTTCCGCCATCAATATCATCCTAAGGCAATAAACCTTCATATACCCCCGACATCTCACTTATCTGACGAATAATGCATTTCATTTGCTGCTGTGTGATCTATAGATCACACAGCAGCAGCAACATAGACTTCAGCATGAAAAAGAAACACGATTTCCTTCTCATATCATGAGATTAACACACACTCGTGTTGATCAGACACGTGTGCATCAGGATATCGTGTTTTGATATCGTTATATTATCGATGTCAGCTAACAGCTGCGAGCGTACACGACCCTTCATATCGATCTGACCTGGTCACTATTCGCTCGACACATGAAGTATCACTTCACTTGTTCATCAGTTAGTCACACCACCTGATATGACGATTATGTGAGATATTTCGCACCTTCAGGACGCAGGTTACTTAGTTGCTCAGAATATATCTCAAAATTTTGCTTTAATTTTTGAGTATTTCGATGCAAATTTCACACAGTAATGGTATATTGGTTACGGACGTCAAATACTAAAACGGAATAAAATTTTTATAATTCTGTTACTTTATAATTTTCATTCTGCAGAAGATTGACTTACGTAAAATTCCATGACCTTCTAGATTTTAAAGACTCGACATGTGACTCAAGTTTCCTTTCCAACGGTTCAAAGAGTTCGCCCTGTATCCGCTTCATAATACATTTTGATAATGCCAGTAGATTTTTTTAGGAAGCATTGTCTAATTAAGTTCAAATACAGACAGCTGCAAGTCTTTCTTTTGTCATTAATTTAATTTTAATTGATAAGAAAGACGGAAAGCCTTAATATTATGTGCAGCATGCATACTAATTTAAAAGTAATTACACAGTTCACAGTAAAAATGAGAAATCTTTAAACTCTCGTAATTGACGCAACAGAACAGAAAATCGTAATCTTGACTTTGTATGTTTGTTAATGGTCGTAGATGTCGCTTTGATCTTTTGAGAAAATCTGTCTTTTTCCACTAATTGGGTCTAATTTAGTATAAGTAAGATTTTAAATATCGCATTAACCCATTTAACTGTTTGATTTTAATAGAAAAATTAGATTTGCTGCTACAGCAATTTGTTGAAGTCCACCCTAAAACGGATTATGTCACCTGTTCAGTTTGCAGTTGAACATTTTGAGGAGTTCTGCACTTGTGAAATTTGTTACAAGAATTGTGCCCAATCTTGTAAATCGACACGACGTATGTGACAGACTTCTTTCGTATCAACGCTGAGGGTTAATTACCTCTTTTCGGTCCAGCTGGAATTATGCAATTGAAATCCTTTTTGTGTTATACGGGATTCCCTGGGTCGTGGGCGAAATCTTTTGTTTTGGCAGAATAATGTAAAATGTAAATTTGGAAAATTTACTGCGAGCAATTTGTCCTGAATCAATAATATTGGAAATGTTTACTTAGGATCAGCAATTGTGGCGATACGCTCCTTTACACCATGAATATTAAAAGTCAAGGCGATGTTGCCACGTTGACATGCCAACGAAAAGGAATACGCTGGTGTTATAGGACACCCTGTAAACACCTCCCTCTTCCGCTCTCTTATCAACGTGTGCTAAAGCAGCTTAAATCTCAATATAAAGACTGTACCGCTGTAATACCTCATCCTAAGTGAAGCATTCCAGTACTTGTGATTGTAAACACATGTGGTGGCGGACAAAACTTATTTCAGATCTTCAACACTTGCAGCCTTTGGTTAGACATTTACGTTCTGATTCCAGAGCGTTAATTGCATTTCAGAGGTTATTTAGCGTCGAATGTGCCCAGAGTCAATATTTGGTCTTATAAGATGTCTGTCTTCTCGGTTGTAGTGTCGTATAGTCTGGTCGGTGTTTATAGACGTTTCAGAGGTACATGCTGCCTTCTATCATGGGCCTGATGACAAAGGAGGCAAAGACCTCTGAAACGTCGGTAAACTTATAACAATATTCCAGGACATTACAACCCAATAGACAGCCATCTTCGAGTTACAATTTAGCTTTAGATAATAAAGAATTCATGAGATGATAATGTTGCGTCATATTGTGATGATTATAATTGTTTAATTTTAACCGTCTAATCACAATAAAATATTTTATTGTGATTAGACGGTTAAAATTAAACAATAATAAAGAATTCGTTCATTTTTACGGCCAAAGTTTCTTCTGTTTATGTTTTCCGTTGGCTAGTGTAAATTACTTCTTCAAGATACGATGATGTTGAGCCGAATGAGTTTAAAACCACCAGCAGTTTAAAACCCTAACGCTGCTATCTTCCTAGAACAAGATGGAAATTTCTTTCACCTCAATCTGCTCTGGCTTACATTGTGATTTTACGGAAACATTTTCTGCATAATCCTAACTTAATGCGTTGAGTAACCAAGGTAGGATTTTAGCGTTCCCTTCGCCAAGTAACACCCAGTCTCCGGTCCAATCTATGAACATGGGTGAAGTTGTAATTTACATTTGTAGGGCTTAAATGAGATCAAATTATTGAGTAGGATCATTTCAGTGCCACGAAGCTGATCGTGGGTTTTGCTACATTTATTTATACCCAAGATTAAATTATTATAGAGCTATATGGCCTAAGTAGGCAATTATTATAATTATTTTTGGATATTATTATTATTATTATTTACTTTCTTTAATCGCTTGTGAAATTGTGTTATTCTTTGAAGCTGTAATTATCCTTCTTCGGCTGTTCTCAAACACATAAGTGATTTATTATTATTATTATTATTATTATTATCATTATCATTAGAGTCCATCGCTAGAAATAAAATGTTTTACGAAATGTGTAACTTCCTAATGCATTAAATAAAGTGGAAATAACTTTTGGACTGAAATGGACGGTTTCTCGGCCATTCTGTTATTTCGTCATCTGATGTACCAGTCACAATAAAATTGTTTTCCATTCTTTGTTTTAATATTATATCCTTGAATACTTATAGACAGATTAAGGAAATAAAGTTTCCTATTTTCGATAGTCTACTCTTCCTATCACCTGTTCTTGAGAGGTTATCAATTCCCTACCTTGTTTAATGCAGCGTTGAGGAAGATGTAAATAGTTAATTAGAACCTGCAGACAACACAAATTGGAAACTAAAATAACTTTGAGAGGCGTTAGAAAACGTGACCTTTAACATTTCCTTGCTAACTAGTTTATTTCAGAATCTGCGTTTTATTTAACTAACACATAAACATATACATTTATTTATATATAAATCTCCATAGAATTCTGAAATTTTAATCTGTCTGGTTTTCGTGCTGGGTTAGCGATTTTCAGCATTTTTAAACTAGAAAAAGAAGGTAAAACCAATTTGTTTAAACGAGGTATTTGTGTACAGTTCATGTAGGAAGAATGGCGTATGAGATACGAGGCCAGATCACCAAATTTGATCAAATTAGAGAGAAACTTTTGGGTTGGCATGTAGAATACACGAGGATTTCAGAACATCGTAACGATATCCTCTGGTAGAGCAATTTATTTTTTGTAGATAATATTAAAACGGGTCTAGAATAAATACGACGAAGGAAAATCGACTATTCATCTGACTCAGCATAGGGTACAATGTCGGGTGTCTTGTGAACACTGAAATGAGTCTGTTGGTTCCATAAAAGGTATGCAGTTTTGTGAAAAGCTGAGCGACATAACAAATACTTATAACACTGGATTTTTTATTATTATTATTTCTCGGCGATATGACTCCTGTAGTTGATACGGTGCATAAAATAGCCAAATGAACGAATTATCTTTCATTAGAAGCTGACATCAAGGTTCGTACTTGTGTGTGCCCTCACCATTTGGAAGGGTTCAAAAATACGGTGGGGTCTGATACTCACGTCCTCTGGTGTTTTTGTTGCAGATGCGAACTGCCTGCGTCTGAACGAGGTTCGGATTCCGATGCACACTGTGCGTGACCTGAACGCACGCCTTGAATGTCATTTTGACCTCGAAGGCGAAGCGCTGTACTCGGTGAAGTGGTACAAGGACGGTAACGAATTCTTCCGGTTTGTCCCTCGAGATCAGCCTCCGGCTCAACTCTTTCCTCTGCCGGGAGTCTCGGTGGATGTAAGTACACACTCACTCGTAACTCGGGGACTCCTTCAAATTGTCTCAGGACAAGTTAGGTCTCTGACGCAGGCAATGACGAAGGGGGTCTTTAATTTGTAAGTAGGATTTGAGGTTTTCACGGCGGTGAATTCCAAAAATGTCTGTCTTCTAGGTCAGCAGTCTTCATATAATTTATGTTGTTCATCAGACATTATTAGGATGATAAAATTGAGGATGAGATGGGCGGGGCATTTAGAACGCATGACGGATGAGAGATGCTTACAATATTTTGGTTAGAAAGCTTGAGGGGAAGCAACCCTTGAAATACGTGGTCTAGCGGTTAGAACGCTGGCCTTGTAATCCTGGGGTCTCGGGTTCGATTCCCGGCGGTGCCCGAATTTATAACTTGTGTTGGGCAAGGCCGTGGTCTAGGCAACACGGAGTTTTCCTCCGTGGCATCCCAACAATTACTCCATTCACACACAGAAGAAGGCAATGGCAAACCACTTCTGGATCATCTGCCAAGAACGTATATGAACAGGTCCCAGTCCGAGAAAAGGATGGAAGGATCCTGTTCATATGGACCTGTCGTCAGACAGAACACTAAATAATAATAGTATAGATTGGATTAATCTAGCTCATTACAGGGCTAATGAACTTTCGGGTTCTACAATCTGCGGGGAATTTCTTGGCTAACTGAGGACAATGTAAACATCGCAGCAAGGACTCTTCGATTCGAGGAGTTAGTTATGCTATTGAGTGTGTGTAGCTGATTCTATCTTTGTGCATTGATACATGATAGATAAAATGCTACGCGTTTGGAAAATATCACTGATAATCCCATATCTTGAGCATGCCGACTTCCTTATCCCAGATCGCTGTCATTTCAGCGAGACAATGTCACCGTTAACATTTTACTGTTGATAATGTAAAGAGTATATAGCGCAGTAAAAGGCTCGTCGTAGGTGAAGGTTCCAACAGCTGAGGATTGAACAACCTCACCCTGTTTAAAATGTTTCGTATTTTGACAAGTAATCGCGTTCTCCTATGGGTACGAATTTATGGGACACTCGATATAGTATCTCACACCCCCACAACACACATTGAGCTGCAGAATAACAAAAGAAATATCTACTAGATATGGATCCTCACGATGGACTACTGGCTTTGTGTGTGGTTAGTACTACACGATTGTCTTCTGTTTTTCATCCTCTTAGTACAGCGTCCGTCCGCTTCTCGTGCTGCAGAAAGCATTGGATAAAGAGTGAGAGACAGAGGTAGAGAGAGGTTGCCTATACTACACCATACGCCGCTAGATTCTACCACTCCACATCCTTTGTTGTGCTTTTCATATTACATTCGACCAACCAGCGCTGTCCGTTCACAAGTACAAGATTTGCGAGTGGCATTTGCATCTGTAAGCGTTGTTTAGTCTGGGAACGAGCGTGTGTTGACGCTGGGTAAGGGGAACAGGTTCAGAGTTTGTGGACTGCTCAGCACGAATTCCAAAATCTCTCTCGTTCTGCTTTCTTGAGCCTTGCTACGTCATTCTTTCCATTTTATCTACTTCTGGTAAAGAAATTTCTCTCTGTTCCAGTCTTAAGAAACTCTTTCATTGTTTTCAGTATTCTCGATATTTCCAGCCTACCACTCCCATGTTCGGTTTTACATATCTCTTTTACTTCTTATTATTCTTCTCTTTGCCACAACTTTCAGCGTATTCTATCTTGCCATATCCAAGTTCCTTTCTGTGCCTCTGTTCCGTTCCTTCGTCTTCTCTACAGTCGAGGACAACCTGCGTCACTTTTCAATTTCCGGTAACGTAGCAGCGTCTCCGAGCCCCTTGGCCGTCCGTCCGTCCGTCCGTCTACATGTTATCTGTGACCGCATCTCAGACGGCAGTAGATTTGTATTTTATTTTGTGTGGGCTGTGGGGCTTTGCTGTTGTCCCTAAAAAAAGAGCTCTTTTTCCCTGGAGACAATGCTGTAATTATTCCCGCAGGAAATATGAACGACGATTGGTTGCAATGTAGAAGGCGCCAGAAACCGGACGTTCAACAAAGCTACTACCAAAGTTTGCCACTGAAAACGATATATTTTTAACTTGTGTAGACCGTTTAAAAGCGACTTGAAATCTGATTCTTTCCAAAATGCTCCAATCATCGTGGGGATTCTTTAAAAAAAAAAAAAGGATTACATTTAGAAATATATTTTTGTACACACTTTCCACTAATACATAGTCCAAATGCGTTAAATGTTAGCCCAGAGTTTCAACTACTGTCATGATTTTCCTTATTAACACGAGCGTACAAAGCAATTTTAGATTCACATGTTGTGAATACGATAATGATATGTCTCCAATAGGTCGTTAGTTACGATCTTCAAATGAAAATCTAAATACGGTTAGTGAGGAGAAAGCCACCTCATAATTTTTACGAGCTGCTGATTGATCGTGAATCGCTGGTCCAGAAGCTGTGGTTGGACTTGCATCTTCCTTGTTCCTTGGTGAAGCTGTGAGGTGCAAGAGGAGGACAGTGTTCGGTGAAGGTTAGGTCTCGAGACCTGAAATATCTCCCCACCCCCCTCTGTGCACACACAATATCTGACCATCATAAACCATGAGGGCTGCAGCCCCACCCCTAGTCCCTTGGGGGAGGCACCGCGTGCTAGAAATGATACGCGAAGCCCCTACAGGCTTCTCGCAATTTTAAGATGAAAACTTGCCACTTTCGATTCGAGAGAAGTCCTCCAGGTGTCTGTGGTCATGTGTAATGCAGCCTTAGGATGTCATGAACGTGTTCTCGTTTGCTGACGCAACGCGAAGAAATTTTAAAATAATAGAATTGCATAATTATTGTATGGTAACGAGGCGCCTTTCTGTCGCCAATTTTTCTAACCACGAAATTTACTTATAGCTAGCTAGTAATACGTGGTACACACACAGTTTTATTTGTGCTGTTGAAAGGCACAAGATTATTATATTTTTCAATAATTAAACCTCCCAAAGACACACGAAGCCGTATGTCATTCATAACTATGTGTCAAAATGTCAGCCAGGGGACGAGATAAAATTGATATAAATCTCATAAATGGTTTTCCCGAGGGTAAAGTGCGGCCGGGGGCTTGACGCTAACCATTCACCCCATCTAGTGCCGAGGCTAAGAATAAATACGAGCTGTATATTAACCTCTCCCCCTGAGCGCCTCCATGGCGTATAGTGGTACAGCTTTGCTATTTAATTCTCATAAATGTTTATTATTATTTATATTCTCGCTGTTTCGCATATTTGTCCGAATTTTAATGGTGGGAGAATATGAGTTATGTATTTCATAATTTACTCGATATTAAATTTAACATTATATATTATGGCACCATCTCATTTATAAGCCAAATATTGATAATAAACAAGAATTTAACGAGAAATTAGCCTCCGATTGTCAGTAAATTTCACATTATCATAATTTTTCTGAGCTCGGTATTTATCTAAAATTCCTTTCGATATAACCCCCCCCCACCCCCCCCCCCCCAACCTCCCGGTCTGGGTCTGACAAGTAGTCTTTTCCAGGAAGATTCTGAAATTAACAAGCTGTTTCAGTCGTCCGTTCTACACGTTCAACCCATCTGACCCTCCTCATTTTAACTAATCGGTGAATATAAGGGAAAGACGGTGGATTATGATCGCATCCCTTACCCAGTTGTTCTACATAATACATTATTAGCAGGAATTATTTCTATAATACTTAAATTTTTAAAAAAATATTTCCCACCTCTTTGTCAGATTTCGGTTAAAATGCAAAGTACTTTGAGATGCATAATTATTTTACGAATTAAATAACTCATATTACATTCATAGGCAGCACATCCCTCTGAGAACTTATATTTTTATTTTCTAGATCTGTGTACCGATATTTTGCTGGAGAATAATTTTAGATTTTGTTCATACGAAGGTTTTCATTGTCTGTGCCTGTAATCGTTGTTGGTATGAAGTTTTGACGGCACAGGTTAAGTTACGTTAAACTGATATATAAAAATCCATACGAAGGCAATTTACGTGGATCCTTTTAATGTGGGACACCGCTTTGCAAAGCGGTATCGATTGTAAAGCAGATGCAGGCCTGGGTTTTATTTCCGCTGTGAACCTGACGAAGAGATACAATATGGAAAATGGAAGAAAGACTTCTGGATATTTTTCCACTTTTCAGTCTATATATTTTATACAAATAGACTATATATACACAGTTCACTGTATATATTCTAGTGAATATGTCTATACGTTTTCGATAAAAACAATTCTTGCTTCCGGAAAGATTCTGTTATTTATGTTCGTATTTTATTCTCTCGTACGCACTTCTTTTACATTCTTTTTTATATTCCTTTCGTGTTTTTCGATGTGGAATACGAGTTACTGGAAAATAATAGGAATTGCAGTATTATAGCTTGGTTTCTTTCACTGATGAATTGGTTGAACATAGCGAAACACTGCGGTCAGCCTCTTCAATAGAATGTAATCCTGAAGACACGCAAGTCATGATAAGTAAATATATAATAAAAATCGAGCCAGTTTCGTATTCACAGAAAGTGAAGATGGATTTGTGCTCGGCTGAAATTTGACGTTAGAAACATCGTCGGCTGGTAAGTAAGTGGATGCAGGAAGAATCTTCTTATATCTACAGCTGTGTCTGTTTTAGGATTTGTGTTTTATTCGAGGGTATTTCAGTAGTAGCTTGAAGCTACCCTGTCGTTTACAGATCAGAGTGAATATGATGGGCGAGACGTCTCACTGGCTGTTATGAAAGCAATAAAGAACCACCTGGTGGCGAATGTCTTAATTAACCGAATAATCTCTTCCTGAGAATAAATACTTAATGTAGTTATGGGTACCAGAATATTTACGGTAGTCGAGAAAATATATCGTATGGGAATGGGTAAAGTTCTGTGTTGCATTTAAAGGCAGTCACTTGTTTCGCTCTGAAGTCAGGGTGATTTTTTGTAATTACTTATCAAGTGATTTCAGTCATCGGTTTCTTTCCCACTTTATTGATTTCAGTATCATTATCGGTCCTAACATTATAATTAATGTTTGTATGCATATATATCAAGATTTATTTATTTATTATTTAGTGTTCTGTCTGACGACAGGTCCATATGAACAGGATCCTTCCATCCTTTTCTCGGACTGGGACCTGTTCATATACGTTCTTGGCAGATGATCCAGAAGTGGTTTGCCATTGCCTTCCTCTGTGTGTGAATGGAGTAATTGTTGGGATGCCACGGAGGAAAACTCCGTGATGCCTAGACCACGGCCTTGCCCAACACACGTTATAAATTCGGGCACCGCCGGGAATCGAACCCGAGACCCCCAGGATTACAAGGCCAGCGTTCTAACCGCTAGACTTATATCAAGATATAAAGAATAAATGTTCATTATTTACGATCTTGTATGTTATGCAGCCCCGCACAACAACTGTTATACACTCTTGCTTGAAAACATCGGTCTTTATTTCATACTACAGCGAGAATTCGAACTGGTTTTCCTACTTATCTTTACCATTAGTGCTACATTCCTCGCCTGTGTAAGGTTTCCTTAATTTGATTATCGTAATATATGAAACATTTTTGTTAAAATGTATATTCCATGTTTGATGTTGTACTACACTACAACACGCGTTACGTGTTTCAGATTCACAACTCGACGGAAAGTCAGGTTGTCCTGAAATCTGTGAACTTATCTAGTACGGGACGTTACCGCTGTGAGGTCTCTGCTGAGGCACCGTCCTTCCAGACTGTGTCCGACCACGGAGACATGACCGTCGTTGGTAAGTAAAATACTCTCTGGGTTAATCTTTCGTCCATTACGGCATTTAAGACGGTAGGGAACAGATCACTCAAGAGATGAAAAGTGGTTCTTGTCTCATTCTTGCGTTCTCCCGGAATCAAGTCAATAGGACCATTTTGTTACCCGAAGTACTTTTGCAACATTTATTGAAGGACTGCGAGAAATTATTGTGTTTAAGGCACTAGCCACATCTGTTGTTCAAATATGTAAACTATTCGTGAAATTCTACAGCTGTTAAAATAGCTACCGTCATTTTAACGGGGGTGTCAGAGTACTCCAGTGTCTTTTTTATTGTGCATTGGATAAACGTTGTGTAATATTGTATTTATTTTTCGTCTAAATTATACTAATTACTACCACATTTTTTATTATTGTTTGATTGGGTGTTAATCTTTGAATAATGATATTACGGATTTAGATAGTTATTAACTGATACATCAGCAATTCGTTTCCCTGTTGACTGTTTACAGGATTTGTAAATTTGGCGGGTTATATTTAAGAGTAAGTGATATTAGTAAAAGATCTTTACATTCCTTCAGCAACTTAAGTAATGGTTCAGAATTCAAACTAATTGTACTACAATTAGTTTCGATCTACATTAGCATCAAGTCAATGATTAGTTTCGTTTAGCCAAGGAAGATAACTTCTCGAAGAACATTCTTTACGGGGTAAAACTGCTCTAGATGAGAGAGATGAGGTTCTCGTGAGGTGCACTTGAACAACATCCAGACCTCTGTTTGTCTGGTCTGGCCCCGCTCTTAGAAGTTACGAGACTGTTTTACGTACCGGGGGACGACAATACTTGTTTGGAGTCGGAGGAACTACGATCCTTAACAACTGGCATGTGCGTAACTCTAGATAGCAGTCGTCGTAATTGAAGCTGTCTATCTCCTGGGATATTTCACCGTGTACTCCCGTCAGAGCCCTGACAACGGAGGCACTAAGCGGACCTCAGAAGCGTAGGACAACTCCTACCCTACTTCACGGCTCAACATCCCATGTATACCCCTGTGAGAACCAGACATCTCACAAGTAATAAGCTCTTCTATACATTTTGGACATTCCTTATTTATTATTGGGCTAGAAACAATTACGAATAAAGTGTGTTTAATAATTTTTTTAAAAAAAAAAGCTGTCTTGGGCTATTTAAAGGTGTTACCGCGATTTTCATTAGAATAGACTGAGGTAAACTGCGCCGGTGTCGGACCACTTAGTGATTTGTAATATTATCGTGAAATTGCGAAACCCGAGAGACATCGGGGAAAGATAATCGAACCACGCCAGTAACAGCGATTAGTCGCACAGTAAGGTAATTCTGTAGTCGCACTGGCTTTCGTGCCGAGGTCAAGGAAGAGAGGAGCTATACCTCCACTCCCCCCAAACGCCTACATGGCGTATAGTGGGACAAACTTTACTTTACATTAATTACTGGGTTTCGTCTGAAGTACTGCAAAAGATTATGCATTTATGGTTAATTTCATCACTGAAACAGAGCCATTAATTGTATTTATCATCTTTATCTTAAGCACGCGTCATTAAATCGTCCTTCCGTTTTAAGAAACTGATTTTAAACAGACTTCAGTGCATTAAATTGAGTGTTACGAGCATTGGACTTAACAGTTTCCCCCTACTTTGCACCTGAAGGTGGAGACAGTATTTGCGAAACATTGGCTATCTCCTTTCGAGTCCGCTTGTTTTCCAGAAGAATATCGCACCTTCACAACCGAAGAAACAATTTTCACAAGTCTCCTCCCCTCCCCTCACCTGGTTCGTATATTGATCACGTGGACTGCTGTTAAATGCCAAGGAATTTCGTCAAAATTCGATATTTAATAAGGAGACGTGAGACGAAATATGCACAAAAATTTGTTTTCTCATTCCAAAAAATAACAAATTTTGGTACATTTAAGCAAGGTTTTCTGAATACGTCGATTGGTAATCGTTGGTATGGAATGTCCCCTCCATAATACAGAGAAAATTTCATAATCTTTGAGTGTATTATGTAATTAGCGTATCTATATTATTATAAAATTATGCAATATACAGTCTTTAAGATAATTGTTAATTGTTGAAAATAAACTATTAACCCGCGTCTTCTTTGGTGTTCCCGGTAACTACTCCTCCTTTTAAAAAGTAATTAATTCCAGGCTTTGTCTCCCAGCATTTGGACTTCTCTCCCTATTCGCGTATCCCTAAGCCTGGGGCTTCTTTCTCCCGTATTATCTCCGTTCTCTCGCATCTGTATTTCTTTTCTCCATTCAACTGATTCCTAATTTGGGGAAGAAACTTAGGAGATCTTCAAATAATCTGCCTAGTTTGTTACTTACGGTAACTGTGAAGAATTCGCAGTTATCGACGTGGAAGCAAGACAAAGGGTTTCAGTAACGTAAGATGCGAGTGAGGGATGATTATTAAAGTGTAAGGGTGACTTTGCGCCAAAGGATGTGTCGGAAACAAAGAATTCTAAACGCCACGAGATTCTGACTTGGGTATACTAACAACAGGAACTGTCCTACAATTTTCTGAGGTGACTTTGCGCCAAAGGATGTGTTGGAAACAAAGAATTCCAAACGCCACGAGATTCTGACTTGGGTATACTAACAACAGGAACTAGTCCCACACGTGTCTAGTAAGGATAAGCTGTTATTACCTGTTATTCTCTGTTGGTGTGAAAATTTATCATTTACTCTAAGCCCATGTGATTATAATGATGTAACGGAAATGGGGTAAGTATTAGGGCGGAATACGTAATGAGAAGCTCCTTAATTTATATTATTTAATTAATTACTTGCATGGAGCAGTATGGCCAAAAATAATATTCCCCAAATTGTATAGAAGCCAAAGGTTGATTAACGTGCTCACAAGACCCCATTACAGGTACTCGTCATCAATACACATTTCGAAAATATGCCTCAACTATTTAATCCTTCTTGATTTAATCATCCAAATAATATGTAGTGAAAAGTATAAATTTTGGATTTCTTCATTATGCTATTTCCTGCAACCTTAACCCCTTTTAGATCCAAATTTTCACAAATGCCCTCAACCTACGTTTTTCCTTTTTAGTAAAAGGCAAAGTTTTGAGCTCACGGAAAACAGAAGTGTCGTAGTTAGGTTAGGTTAGGTAAGGTTGGGTTAGGTTGGGTTAGGTTGGGTTAGGTTGGGTTAGGTTGGGTTAGGTTGGGTTAGGTTGGGTTAGGTTAGGTTGGGTTGGGTTGGGTTAGGTTAGGTTGGGTTAGGTTAGGTTGGGTTGGGTTGGGTTAGGTTAGGTTGGGTTAGGTTAGGTTGGGTTAGGGTCGGTTGGGTTAGGTAAGGTTAGGTTAGGTTACGTTACGTTAGGTTAGGTTGGGTTAGGTTCGGTTAGGTTAGGTAAGGTAAGGTTGGGTTAGGTTAGGTTTGGTTATGGCATAAAATTGAAGTTAAGGCTCAACCGGTCGTGACATGAACTTGAACTACGTACTCTGTTGCTCGCAGTTTGATGTGTTTCACGAAGTGAGTGGTAATGCAGATATATAGAAGCTGAGCAGTGGGACCAGCTTTGAGTGCAAAATATACGAACAGCGAGCACCAACAACAACAAACGATTGATCTGCCCTATGCAATACGTTCTGTGAACGTTGATGTTGGCATTTCTGTGTTTCTTGTCATAGGCATTCTTTCGGTTCGCTGTTTTGTAGAGACATCCTGTGTGATTGGATTATAACGCTCAATGAAGTTCGCTCTGAAGGGAGGTATTGATTACAGCGACAGTTTACCTGCGTCTGTGTATCGTGTTATAGTGGACAATGCCGATCCTCCGGTGTATTCTAGTAGGATCGTAGGGAAAATGTCGTTTATAGTCTGTGATATTAAATGGTACTTTTCGTTGACTCCGTTGTATGAGTAAAATTATTTTCTTAGACTTTATATGTTGTATAAATTATAAATAAAATCACGCGATTGATGAATTCCAAGGAAATGAATTTACAGATTGTAAATCGCCCGCGAACTTCGCCCGTTTTGTCACGTTCTTTAGAATCCGACTGGCATTTTTTTCACAAATTGAACGAAATGAGCGAAGTGTATTACAGAGACAACAGCTGACTCAGTTGATTAATAAAGATAAAATTAGATAGGCGAAAACCCATATGGATGTGAAGCGAACACAGATGGCATTATCGTAATAAGAAAATATTATCAATCGATCAATCATCAATCATTATGGATCAGGCCTCGTGGCCTGTTCTAGGTAGGAATTACTTCTGAAACCATTAATTCATGCATGGCCATTGAGATCGCCGGAAATATTTTTGTGTAGACTACAATATGAAATAATATAAATGAATTGTCGAGTGTTTGTGAAAGAACGAAAAGTACAGGTAGGAAGCAAGCCACATAGTGATTTATAGTCCGCGGATATGTTGTCGAGACACGCTGAGCGTTGAGCCGCTGGCTTTGTATTTTTAAAATGTATGAGGAATAACTAAAAAAAAAATGAAATTGTGATATTTCGTCATTTTAATGTCAACATGTGTAATCGACAAATGTTAGACCGTGATGTTCATTTGACTAGAAGCAACTGTTGGGCCTCCCACGTTATTGATTTCTGGGTCACATCCGCATGCAGAGAGCGTACGTGTGGTCGTACCTACACGTGACCAATAAGGAGGGATGAAATAGAATTACCAGACTGCGAAACATTGGGTGTAATAAACTGTAGATAATTTCAAACAACGAATAAACGATTGGACGTACAGACAGCAAGTTGAACGCTAAATAAAACTCGGTAATGAACAGGATTATATAAAAAAAAAAGTACGCCCGTGTGCAAAGTTGGGATGAAGGTAATAAAGACGACCAGGGGATGTCAGTGGCGGTTTCCAATAAGCGTAACGATATTCGTTTTCTGTAACACGGGGTTTTCCTCCGGGGGCTTCCCCGGTTTCTCTGTGGCATCCCAACAATTACTCCATTCACACCCAGAAGAAGGCAATGGCAAAC